TAACTAGCGATTCTGGCTTCAAGTCCAGTTATTCTGGCGTTGTTTTGCCCAATGGAGGTCATTGGGTCTGAGTGCCTTCCTTTGCTTCATGATTACGTGGTCAAACCTGAACAGCATCCACACATGGGCAAGACAAGTGGCTTAGAGAAGAAGAACAACTCTCTTTATTCGAGGTAGTAGTAGTAGTATCATGTCTTCTCTCATATTTCTGCCTCTGTAAGTCTGACGTAGCTGAGTTAAGATTAATTCTTTCACGATTTCCTGCATTGCGTAGCGGCGAGATTGTGTTTTGTAGAGGGCGAGGATAGTCCTCCTGAGACAGCTATGCAGACAGCTTGACACCACTTTCATCACCAACCTGCCATGTAGTGCTGTGTGCTACCCTCCTACGTAATGCCAAAGTGTTCACAAATTCCACCATCCTTATTCACCACACGCGGCACTGTGAGAGCGTCTTCCACATTCCTGTGGCAATTCTTCACATCGCCATACGAGCAGTCCCCTAAGCGAATTATCGCATTATTTATGGTTGCGTTTGTTCCACATGAGTGGTGGTCGCTCTGTTGGATCACTTGCTGTGTTATGTTCTGGACAGCTATCCAGTTGGCTCATCAAATCGGATTCATTTTGACGCTAGCTCTTTTCGTGAGGCCATTAATGCCCATTCGATAGCTTCTTTGGTGCATTAACTCACCAACTGTGGTAACTCCTCCCTGGTCATACACGAAAGTAAGCTGTTGTTAATCTCTTCGCTCCCTACTCTCTTTCCTGTCTTGTCACAGACTTCTTTACAGTGTTTATACTCCTTGTAGTTCATCTTGAGAAGCCACATCCAAACGTACGCCAATTCGAGCCAAGCTTTGTCAACACTTCAACCTATGGTGACCTCGTAATTCCACCTGCATTGTGCATCCACACAGGCTTTGATCAGAAGCGATGACAAACGCTTATCTGTGCGCTGGGAAAATCCAAAAATGTTGGCTACACTCTTTTATGCTCTTCCAACTTCCCACACATGGACCACTTAAGTTAGCTGTTGTAAAAGCCGTAACCACTACCATAGCCTCATTATTCAGAGTAAAGTGTGTCGAGTGTTACAGCGTTTGGTTTAATGCTCCCCTTACATTTTGTCTAACAGACATTTGCTTTTTTGTAACCATGTTGGTGAACAAACAGTATTCTTATGAGCCACCATTGTGGGTGTCGCGCATAATTTACGTGGATGAAAATAAACCAATCTTTCCTACTATCCGATGTTGCGGATGTACAATTTGCTCGCCTGTTCTCACGCCCTTGAACCTCGGACTTGAAGAGAGAGCCAGATGCAGTAGCCTTACTAGGTTTGTACGCAGAAGGATCGGAAACAGGGAGTATAGATGAGCCGAAAAGGAGGTCTCGCTCCGCGAAGGACTCCTCACGATCTTGACGCACCACATTTGTGCTCGAATCGGCTTCCTCCCACGGTCACTTTTGCATTCCTTTTGTCATTGTACGCGCAAGC